GCGGTGGGCTCCCCCCCCCCCCACCCGCCTGGACCGCTGCTGCGGCGTTCAAGGCAGCCTGTTGCCACTGGGTCCGGGCAGTGTTTCCTGCAGGCTCAGGCAGAGCCACAGCCCCCACCAGCCAGAGCCGCGCTGCCTGCACTTTGGGCCATCGCACGGTCCCTGAGGCCGCCAAGTCCTCCCCTGCCCTGAGCAGGCAGGAGCTGGCACTAGGAGGAGCCTGTCAGCGGGTTCATCTCTAGGTTGCAGGGCGACATCAGGAGATGGGCCAGAAGCAGTGAGCCAAGGAGAAAGGGCTTTTTCCTTGTGACCATGGGCAGGGGCGGGCAGGCGAGGGCTCCTCGCGGTAACCCCCGTCTCCTCTCAGTCCCCTCCGTACAGCTCTGGCAGCTACGACTCCATCAAGACAGAGGTCAGCGGCTGCCCCGAGGACCTGACCGTTGGCAGGGCCCCCACGGCTGACGAAGATGATGATGACCACGATGACCACGAAGACAATGATAAGATAAATGACTCGGAGGGGATGGACCCGGAGAGGCTAAAGGCCTTCAACGTAAGGAGGGCTCCGCAGGGAGGGTGAGCCCGCCCGCCTCCCGTCTCGGTGTTCCCACTGTCTGTCTCTCCTTTGCAGATGTTCGTGCGCCTTTTCGTGGATGAGAACCTGGACCGGATGGTTCCCATCTCCAAGCAGCCCAAGGAGAAGATCCAGGCCATCATCGAGTCCTGCAGCCGGCAGTTCCCCGAGTTCCAGGAGCGGGCACGCAAGCGCATCCGCACCTACCTCAAGTCCTGCCGCCGCATGAAGAAGAACGGGATGGAGATGGTGAGCGGCCGCGCCACTGCCCTGCCGCTCGCCACCGCTCCCGGGGCAGCAAGTCCCTGAGCACCTTCTCTGCTTGTGTTTCCGCAGACCAGGCCCACACCGCCGCACCTGACCTCGGCCATGGCGGAGAACATCCTGGCCGCCGCCTGCGAGAGCGAAACGCGGAAAGCAGCCAAGAGGATGCGGCTGGAGATCTACCAGACCTCCCAGGTATGGTGCTCATGGCCAGAGGTGGGTGTGGGGGAAATAAGAGAAGTTTCTGAGCAATTTGGCAAAGCATTTTAAAAAGCCTTTCTAAAAGTCAGAGGGCTGCAGAATGGGGCTCTGTGGTGCGTCCTGAGACTCAGGCCAGCAGGGCTGGGGACGCTGGGGACGCTGGTTTGTGCTGGCCATGCTGCAGCCGTGGGAGACCAGGTGTCCCCACACTGTCCCTTCCACCGGCCGCAGAGGATGGCTGGGCTCCTTGCTGGAGTAAGTCTGTGTTTCCCCTGTGCAGGATGAACCGATCGCTCTAGACAAGCAGCACTCCAGAGACTCCACAGCCATTACCCACTCCTCCTATTCACTGCCAGCTTCATCTTACTCCCAAGACCCGGTCTACATCAATGGAAGCCTGAACTACAGCTACCGTGGCTACGGGTCCCTGGGGGGCAGCCTGCAGCCACCCGCCTCCCTCCAGACGGGCAACCACAGTAACGGTAAGCGGCCGCACGCTGCACCGGGGCCCGCGGTGGCAGGGGGAGCCCACCCAGCCATCGCCCCCACCCCGTGCCCAGGCAGCGCGCTGCGGGCACCCCGGCATCCTGCGCTGTGCGGCTGAGCTGGTTGCTGGGGGTGAGGCAGGGGCTGCTCCTGCGGCTCACGCCAAGCCCGGTCATGGCAGCACCTCTCCCACCGCCACACAGAGCTGCTGCAAAAGCCTCTCTGCTCCTGCAGCCGACAGAGGCCTCTGCCCAGCTGCCCAGTTTGCCTCATCAGCAGGTGGTTAATTGTTGAACTGAAGTTGGAAGGATGGTCTAGGTGGCACTGGTGGAGGGAAGGAGTGTCACTTAAAAAAAAAGAGAATCTGTACCAGCTATTAATTATTAACAGGAGCAGGCGCCTATCGCTGCCCTGATCTCGTTGCTGGTATGAGCCGTTCCTTTCCCAGCCTGCGTCGGCTGCTCTCGGAGACAGGGACGGGGATGGGGACAGGGCTGGTGAAGTCTGGGGGCTCTGCAGCAGCACCCAGGGCACAGCCAGCTCCTGCCGCAGGTCGGGAGGGTGGCAAGGGGCTGGGGGCCGCCTGGGAAAAGCGGCCAGGGGAACAGGACTGAGGCTGGCAGGGCGGGAAGGCAGAAGGAGAGTGCGGGCAAGGCTTGAGGGGTTGGCTGAGTTAGGAGCAAGTGAACAGAGCAGAGTAGCCTGGGGCTGAGCAGGGCACTTGGGGAGGTGCTGTGGTACATGGTCAGTCCCTTGCACCTGGGTGAAAGAGGTGTAGGATGGGGAAAAGGCTCTCCCCTTGGGCAGCAGCCCTCTGGCTTTGCCCTCCCAACAGCAGTGGCAGGAGGGGCTGGAGCCTGTGCTGGTCCTCAGCTGGTCCTTCGGCAATCTCTGGGCTGCCTTCGCTTGCCCCAGTGCGCTCTGGGCCCCTGCCCTGCCCCTGCCCGCCCCGATGGGAGTGAGGATTTGGAAGGATGTGATTTCCGGAGCCCTGAGAGATGCCTGTCTGGGATTAACTCTTATCATCCCTTCCTAATGCTTCTTAACCCTGAATAAAGATCCCGCCCCAGCCTCCAGCTGCTGAGACCTAATCCTTGCAGCCACGGTGGAGGCAGCTATGGTTCCTCTCCAGAGCAGCACAGGCACCCCCGGCCCCCCACACTGCCCGGCACCCTCCTCTCGCCCGGCCCAGCCACAAGTGCTGGCTCCTTGACAAGAGGCAGCAAACTTGCAGAACCATCTCAGAGCTGCCCCGGTGAGCGCGGGCCCCAGGAGGAGCAGTCGGGCCCTGGGTGTAGCACACAGCAGCAGGAACTTGCTTCTTTCTCATGGATTTTTTAAACCTCTGCCTCACAATTATTTTTTTCCCCTTTGCCCAAGCTCTTTGCCAGTCCTTTAGAGGTAAGAGCGTGCTGCCATAGCGCTGGCAAGGAGCACTGCAAGGAGCTGCGCCTTCTCCTCCCTCCGTGAGGAGAAAGCCTGCAGGGGTTTGCTGCCCAGAAGTGTCTTCTCCCTCCATCCCCCACCTAAGGCGATTCTTGCTCAAACCCACAGCCCCGCTCCCAGCTCCTTCCCCCTTGGTGAGCCGGAAAACGGGCTCCATTTACTGCTGCCTTTTCTGTCCAGTGAAATTGTTTTCGCATGAGAGCCTCCTCCTCCCCTTCGCTGAGCGCTGATTAGCCTGGTGTGGAAGTCCTCTGCTGGTGCCACTCCTCCCGCAGCATTTGCTGCTCCAGCATTGCTTTCCTTGGACGCTTTCCTTCCCACCCCGGGGCGATGTGCTCCCCTCCCTGCCGCCGGTCACCAGCGGGACCCACCTGGTCTCAGGGGGGGGCTGCTGAACTCTCCTGTCCTGGTTTGCAAACCGCTGCAGCACCCGATCCCTGCTCCATCTTCCTACATGTCCCACCGCTGCGTCAGGCCACCCAGCAGGAGCTCAGCCCTCCTGAAGCTTTTCTCCAGCATCACCAACTGCTCCATCAGCCTGCAATGTGCCAGCCCACAGCCAGGGGCTTAATTAGTTCAGCGTCTTCTCTTTCTCCTTACCCCCAGGCTGCAGCCTCGCCTGCCTCCTCTCCCTAGCTAGTATCACATCTCTAGTACACATCTTTCCTCTTCTCTCCATTTCTAGTTGAGTGTGTGGTTCTTGCACCTTATTTGGCTTCTCTTAGTCCAACACAAAGCTAAATCCAGTTTTTCCCCTGCCTTTACCTGGCTGTGTCACTCCTCAAGCTGCGTATCGGCTTCCCTGCCAAAGCCTTCCACGCGCAGCCACCCGAACCGGGCTGCACATGCATGTGCGTGGTTGTGCACACGTATCTGCAGACAGCCAGAGCAGCGGCTGACAGTGTTCCCTGGGTCTTGGAGAGCTCGATAATTTTGTGACTTTTTGCAGGTTTAAGAGCTGTAGCGACACGGGAGGTTTGTGAGCTGGGGCAGCCGTGTGTCCTGTTCTGCAGAGGACAGACACACGTACGTGGCTAGAAGCCGATCGCATGCGATAGAGGTGGAGCAGAGACCGACTTAGGAGAAAAAATTATCCCTGCCCATCAGGCAGATCATAAATTTTGCAGGACTTCATTTCATTTACGGACTAAGCCACAGAAATGTGCAGCCTAGTAAGACCATTTAGCCCCCCCCCAAACGTTCTATCTAAGGCTGAGCACGTAACCGCGTTGCTGGCCGGGGCGGTGTGTGAAAGGCCGGGCAGGGCAGGTCTCCTCCTCGCCGCGCAGCACAGCCTGGCCCCACGGCGCGTGTGCTGGGCACAGACACCAGGTAGTTACCCAGCACTAAACCAGGGAAGTGCCCCGTGCAGGATGTTACTTGCCATGTGCAGAGGAAAATCCGGAACCTGGAAAATGATTTTGATGGGGCAAGTACCCTCAGGCGCAGGATTAGCTCCTGGCAGAGCGCGGCCACAGATCTTCCCTTCGCAGAGCGGATGGGACAGGCTGCAGGACCAGGATTTTTGTCACGTTGACTCTGCAGTCTCTTTCCTTGTTGTGGCTGTTGTAGAGGCAGTGACTTGTGCTGGCTGCCTGCGCTGGCTGCTGTGGGAGCTGGGGCTTTTCACGTTGTCCAGGGCACCGCACTTTCCAGGGACCTTCCTGCTGGTGCAGGGGTCCGGGAGCAGCAGCTCCTGCTGGGGATCTCATCGCGGCAGGACAGACACGGGCAAGGCTGCTCTGCCTGAGCTTCCCTCTCGCTTTTCCTTGGCAGGTCCAACCGATCTCAGCATGAAAGGTGGGGCCTCCAGCACGGCCCCCTCCAACAGCACCAGCAGGGGAATGCAGGCTGCCCAGCTCAGCCCCACGGAGATCAGCGCAGTGCGGCAGCTGATCGCCGGCTACCGAGAGTCGGCAGCGTTTCTGCTTCGATCTGCAGACGAACTGGAAAACCTCATTTTACAGCAGAACTGACTCCCTGTGTCTGCATCGCTCCTCTGTCGAGAAGACAATTTATACCTGCTAGAAAGAGGCTCCCAGCGGTGTCCTGCTCAGGACCACCATCGTCCTCCCATGAAGCAGCGGGTACATGTAGTTTTAGAAGGTGGAATCCAAAAGACCTGTTTTCTTTTACACTCCAAGCACCTGGGACTTCAGGCACAAGGACACGTTTTTGAACCGCACCAACATCCGTGCGTCCAGCCGACCAGAAGCCAAACCTGCGGCTTGGAAGGATGTGGGACTTTCAAGGGCAGAAGGGAGCCTGGGGAGGTTTGGGGCTGCAGATGTATTTAGAATAACCTTTGTGGACCCAAATGTTAGATTCCCATCCCCAGATAATTTCCAAGTCTTAGGTGAGCTGAATCACATATTTATTGAGAAATGGACCCTCCTCTCCCCTTAGTAATTTATTTTTCTGAAAATGGATTCTTTTGAGTTTGTACAGATTGCCAGTTTTTTGTCTGTCTGATCAGAAGGAATTTATTCCTGTGAAATAACACATTCCATATCACTACACTACTAATTTCCAGGCAGCTCTGCCTGTTTCTCTGGGGAGCCCTTGTCCCACCGGGAGCAAGTTCGCCATCCAGCCCTAGACTTCAAGGCTGCTCAGCCTCCAGTAAGCGTAGGTGGCAGCTGACCAACGGAGCAAGCAAGCGTCCTGCTTAGACCTTCGTTCTAAGCGGTCCCGTAGCAGCAGTGGGGTCTAAATCTCCCGCAGAGACTCGGCAAGCTCAGCAGACCTCCGGCTAGAAGGACGTCTCGCACTCATTTAAGTCATTGCAGATAAGAGAAGGAAGGAAGGAAATACCTGAGAAACACTGTCTTGCGGTCACCATCCGTACTCTACCTCACACTCCATTGTGGGCTTCTTCCAGGACTGGCCGAGCTGGTCCTGGGGGATGGTGAGTGTCGCAGACGCGTGGATCGTGCCGAGGAGGCTGGAACCAACCCGGCAGATCCAGTGGATCCGCCGGGGTCCTGCTGCTGGGCGGCAGCTCGCCCCCACCCCGCTGCGCCCGGCTGTTTGCTCCAGTCTGTGTGAAACCAACCCTGGGGTAGCACCAGGAGAATAAACCGTTTAGGAACCGCATGGGTGTAATAAAGGCTAATGCCGGGTCTCTGCCTGAAAAGCGAGGTCAGCGCGGCGAGCCGCTCGCTCCTCTGCAGAAGAGAGAGACTGGCAACATTCAGCAGCAGAACTGACAAAGTCCTCTCCGGGGCCCGGCATCCTCCCCCCTCCCTGCTCACAGTCCTGGAACAAGCCCACAGTTCCCAAAGTGTGGAAAAACCGTAGCCCGATGACCATTCTGCCCCGTCACCACCCCCCCACCCCCAATAATGCACTTCGTTTTGCTCAGTGCAATACCTACTACCAGTGCTGCTAAACCCAGGGACTTCGCTCAGGCACGGAGATGCTGAGCCGAGCCAAGCAATGCAACGTGCTCTGGAGCCACGTAGAGCAGCAGAGACCAGCTGCCGGGGATCCCAGCTCCTCCTCGCGCCCCTGCGCCGGCGCAGCTCCCCCCGCCCGGGCAGGAGTCCTCACCACAAGATATGAATTCGATAAGCGTAAACCCCTATACGCTCATTTTAAAGGTAGATACTTTCTCTCTTTGGAGCCAGCTTTTTTTTCTTCTTTTTTGGCCACTCTGAGCCCGCGGACGGAGGCTGCTGCTCCGTGGGGGGCTGATGCCGCTGGCGTGGGCTCGAGCTTGGTGGCAGGGGCTGGTCCCAGCCAGGAGCAGACCCGGACAGTTTACTCGGTAGCCTTTATACCCGATTATACTCCCCACACACTGGAAGAGAAGCAAACCCTCTACCCTGCTCTTAGTCTCAGTACAGAAAAAGCCGCCGGCTCCTGAGGACAGGCTTGCCTGGCCCGGCAGCAGAAGGGATTAACCGTTGCATTGACTGTTTTCCCCAAACTGTAAACTTTCCGTAGCATTTGGAGAAAAGGGACCTAACCCCTGGCCGTTGGACGTAGTCAGGGTGTCCGTGCAGAGATGAGGTGGTGGCCTGTTAGACCCGAGCCCGTGCTGGAACCGGGAGCATCGCGGCCGTCCCGAGACGCGCCTGGGCTGAGCGCCCCGTCCCCTCCCTGCCCGCAGCAGGCAGGAGAGCGGGGCTGGAGCCCGCCCGGGACACCAGCCCCCCTGAGCCAGGGTTCAGACTCACGCTTTCCCCAGCACTTCACAAGCCTGCTTGGTTTGTCCACTGCATCCTCCCATACTTGGAATTTATGTAAATATTTATTTTTATGTGAATACCATGAAGTAACAAACCTTTGACAAAATATGTAACCGCAGCCATTTGTGAAAGTCTTAAGGAAGGAGAGGCAGAGACAATCGCTGTCCCGGAATTCTCTCTCTCTGCGATATCCCACCCGAGTCGGTGCCTCCCTCCCCATCAGAGGCCGTCGAGAACATTTAGCCATAAGTTTGCCATCCAGTTTACTGAAAAAGAGGTTACCCAGGGGCTTACGGACAGATCACCATCAGCTACAGTTTGTTTAAAGTTTTATTTATACAAGTTTTAGCTGTCGTTACCAGATCACCTTTGAACTTGTCTTAGCATGTATTGAAGTTTAGTAGCTCTTACACTTTGTTAAACTGCTGTAGAAGACAGATGAGGCTCATGGTTGCATAGGAAGGTTTCAGTCTACCCTGTCCTAACAACTGATGTTCATAACTCGCAGCTGAATGGTACAGACTCAGATTTCCAAAGCCCCGGTGACAGCCACATCTGTGACAAGTTATGAAACAAATGGGATTGACTACGAATTTCTGTCAGGGATCTTTTTATTTTCTTTTTTTCTTTTTTTCTTTTTCTTTTTTTTTTTCGGTGAGCCGCAGCTTTATAGTTTCTTTGGAGCGAGCTCCACAGACATCTCAGTGCTCTTCAGCTGATCCATGCTCATTTGCGGCTCTTCTGTGCTCCAGGACTGTTTCACAGCCACATTCCTGCGCTCTCACTAGGCAGGACGGGGTCAGGAATCGCTAGTCCGGGTTCTCAACAAGAAGGAATGAGCAGGAGCAGAATACACCGGCTCTCCAGATATTCTGAGAGGTGGAAGGAGAATGCTGGGTTAGCAAATGGTCTGGATGTTCTTGGTTTTGTTTAAGAAAAGCTAATCACTGGTCAAGAAAATAGATTTTTTTTATTTTATTTTATTTTATTTTAAACACAACCATCCTGCCCTGGATGTGCGGTTCCCATGACGGTGTTTCTACATGGGAGAGCGCTCCCGGGATTGCGAGCAGACGTAACTTGTACCTCCCCGATCCAAAGGGCCACTTCCCTCCCGCGAGTGGCCGGCGGGTTTTGTGCCCGTTCATGAAAAAAAATGCTGCTTTGAACTCAGAGGGTTAATATACTTTTGATTTGTAATTTTTTGTAAAACTTTTTACAAGGTAGCATAGTATTTCACCAGAGTACCAACTACAATCCGTCCATGGTCTGATTTTTATATAATTTAGTGGTGCTTTAGAAACTTTTGTTTGGTTGTTTCGGAGCTGTACAGCTCAGTTCTTCGCCTGTATCTACCTAAGACCAATGTGAACCTTTGTATTTTTGCTCCTAATTTTGGACTCAGTGAAAGTGTACTGTTTACATGTACAGAACTCCCGGCCCCTGTGTGTTCTGCAAGACCTGCTGTTGAAGAGGAAGATGCACCTCACCCAGTTCGTCTGCTTAACCAAGCCACAGCTTCACTCACCCACTGACACACGCACCTACCCTAAGGAAGACCCCACAAAATTGAAACACCCTTTAAGCAATTTTGGGTTTTGCACAAGCTATTGCATTTTTTTCCAGTAGTCGATTTACGGATTGGCTGCAATTCAAAGCGAGAGCTGATCCGGAGCTCAGTTAACTGAAGCACCAGAACTCAAACAGGCAGAGTCGCACCGTGCTGCTGTTTCACCATCCTCCTCCTCCTGACGTCCGAGGCAGGGGGGTGAAAGCTGCCGAGCTCAGTGTAGGGTTCAAACAACGCAGAAGAGCACTTGAGCCAAGGGGGCTTGCAAGGAAGCAGGGAGGAGACACTCATCAGCATAATTGGAAACGTAGTTTAACGAACCTGGTGAAATCGCCCGAGCTGGCCGCTGATTTCAGATGGAAAGGGTGGGAGCGCGTTCCCTCGGGAGGCGGGGGGCTCCGAAACGAAGCAGAGGATAGCTCTTTGGAAAGTCGGTGCTTTCCTGAGGGCTCAGATAGAAAGCATATGGCACTTAATCCAGCTTTTAAGGTGACACTTTATTGCTTAATCAATTGATTCATTTTGAAATGATATTTTTGCAGATAGGCACCTATGCAACTTAATGTGGCTCTTAAGCAGATGAGCACTTCCTCCTCAACGAGCTTGATAAGAGTTATTTGTGTTATATACTGTGGATTTTTCCAGTAAATGTGGCTTAATATTTTAATTCTTAGAATGTGTGTCTATTATATATGTGATGCAACTTAATTCTGTTCTGTTTGTGGAATGATTAGCACAGGCCAACTCCCTGTTCCCCTCACTTAACAAAGACCAATGAGCTGTTAATCAAGCTGTTATCTCCATGGTATTACTTGCTAAATGCACTGATTTCATAAGTATGTGGAATCCTTTTTTTTTTCTTTTGAATCTGTATATCATATATAAGACTGAATCTACTTAATAAACACTGTATAACAAAAAGGGCTTTCTCCTCCACTGTCGAGCACCGCTGGGTGCTGCTGGCACCAGGCGCTCTCCAGCCGCTGCCCCTCGCCCCACCGCCAGCCCGCAGCATTTGCTCCCCAGCCCCAGCCTACGCGCTGTGCGAGAGGTCGGTGCGGTTGGTCACCAAAGCGGGATCTAAATTTAGGCGTTAAAAAAAAGAAAAGAAAAAAAATATATCTTTCAATAATTTTGACATAAGCTGTGCTTTCCATTCCTTAACAGACAGCCGCGGGTACCATAGAGAGCAGCGTTAGCACTCACAAGTGGGGCTAGTCACAAATTTTATGCTTAACTTATATTTTGACAAAATTAATTTTGTGAAGTGTCTGTTTTTTTGTGGAAAAAAAAAAGAAAACGGAGTTTTCATTGAAGTTTGTGGAAAGTTCTCCCTCTCCCTCATGGAAAATACTGATTTTTCGTTATCAGCTTTATTCACTAAGTATAATAAATCTTTGCATCCATAAAATGTTTATCTCAAAGCACTGTGTAGATAAAAATCTCCTGATTGGCATCAGTGGCTGGCTGACAGTCAGGAGGACCCAGGAAAGACGAGCCAAATCGGTTTACAGCTTTGGTGGAAACATTGCCCTTGGATTCGCGTACGGGCGCCTGCGATGCAGCGCGGGCAGGACCTTCCCCAGGTTTGCTGCTGCAGCCGCGAGCGATGGCCAAAAGGACCCTCTGTTCCACCTGAACGTCTGCACTTGTGAATAGTCACCCGGGACGGCACGTCCCACACGGACCTTCCGTAACAATCGGTTAACGTATGCGCGTACACAGAGCTAACATGAGGTTTTTGTGGTGCACGCAGGTAAAGCATCTCCCGTGTGTCCGTGACACAGTCAGGCTTAATAACATTAAGCCTCTGGATAAGCTTTGCTCCCGAATTTCAAACGGAGCAAGGGAGGCGGCTGCAAGCTGTGGGGATTAGCAGCGCTCGGTCACACCGGTGTGCAAACCAGCTTTCGGTACCTTTGGAAATACCTGCGCTTGCTTCCGCAGCCCCTCGGTCGCAGGTGTCTTGGCCGACTTGGAAGGTCCCCTCTGCCCGCAGCTGGCTCCACCGCGGAGCCAGGACGCTCCAGAGCACCGCAGAGCAAACCCAAACAGCAGACGGTCTGCGAGAGAGAAAATCTATTACTTATCGGAGAAATATCACAGAGAAAAAAAATGTAATTTGTATCTGCTCTGTGTGAAATTCTGACATTAATAGGGTTTTACTCTTGAAACCTCCAAGCTCCCCTGTTCTAGAGGTAACATCCTGACATCACCATCCACCATGCCAATAAAACAGAAAACTTGATGTCAGTTATTTAGCGGTTTTAAAGCTTACCTAAGTAACAACTCTACTTATTTTCTGCGTTACTTATTTTTAGCACATTTAGATTATCTGGCTATCTTTAACCACACCTGTGTTTGCAGACAAAGGCTGGCAGAGTCAGGAGAACATCAACGAACCACCAAAAACCACGAAAGCCTTTTTTTCTCCCCAAAAAGCTAGTGCCGGACCAGCCGCTGCCCTGGCCACGGCTCCTGGGCTAGCGCAGACCCATTGCTCCCCCCCAAAACCGGGCCCCCCCCCCCCCCCCCCCCGCCCGCGCCCCCGGGGCAGCCGCACCCCCGGGCCCCCCGCCCCCCGCCCCCCCCCCGGGTCGCGCGCCGCCCCGGGCCCCCCGCCACAGCGCGCTGCCAGCACGCAGGAGACGTCCCCGGTCGGTGGGTTTCTGACGGGCCGGTTCCTGCCGCTGAAGGGCTGCAGCCAGGACCGGCGTCCGCATAGAGGTAAATCTTGACTCCCGACGGGAGCGATGCAGAGCCCTAAACCGTAAACCTTCCCCCGTGCTTGGGACAGAGCTTCCCTCGCACTCAAACGCAGCAGTGCTCAGCTTTGCTCCCCTTCCCCTCTCACCAAGATTTTTAAAGCAAGCAGACCGAAGCAGCCAGGCTTTGCTGCTGCTGCACTCGTGCTCATCAACCCCCCTGGCATTAGTGACATGGAGGAACTGGGAGAACGGGGCACCGTCGCCGCTGTTCTGCAACACTGCAGCACTACAGAACGTAAGGAAGTTAGATATTAATCACCGCACGGATCTAAACACTCCCACAGCCCCGCCGCCAGTTTATGAGATCACTGTCTGCCTTGCGGAAGATCCACGCAATGAGACCAGAACCCAGACATGCAACGTAAGAATTCATGTTATTTTCTTACTACCTAGAAAAGAGGGAGAGAAAGGATGTATCAGTAAAGTAAGTTTACAGGTAGTTTCAGTAAGCGGTACAATTGGCATCACGTTGCTATGCTCTTTAGAAAACATTTCCAGATCCGTTTATCCAACCGTTGAGTAAGACGGTAACATAAAGGCCATGTAACAGCAGCAGCAAGATCTGCCGGGCGACACGGGCCAGTCTCGGTGCTGCTGCCCACAGGCATCACCCCAGCAGGGCAGGTCTCTCCCCCCCGGGGGGCTGGTGCAGCCGCAGCCTTCGCTCCCGCAGCGTCCCACAGCCACGCTGCTGCTTTTGGAGCCCTCAGGGTATCTATTTCCCAAGAGCCACACGGTGTCCGCAGTAGGCGAGCTGTCTCCAGTTATCTGCAAGCGCATAAAAAACGATTTAATGAAGCCGAGGCAGCAGTGCGGCCCCCCCTTTTTAATCACCTGAGCAGAGCTCTGGAACACTCCCAGTTACAGAAGAGGAAAGGGAAAGCAGTACTGCCTTAGAGAGCACAGAGGACGATTTCAGAAAAAGAGGGTTGAAACCACAAATGCAGGTTTTACAGAGTGTTTATTTTTCCAATACCACAAGGGACATACATGAGCAGGCCCCCCCGGAGGGCTCTGCAAACCGGACCGGTTCAATCTGTACACTACAGTGGCCCCAAAGGAGGCAGAGCCAGAACCCCCCAGCTCCGCTCCCTATCTTTGGTAAGCAGGTTTCACACCTCCGCTCCGCCTTCATCCCGGGGTGCGGGCGCGTGTGCCCACGTGCGCTGGTCTCTCTCACTCCCACCATGTGAGGCTGCCAGATGCATTAAGGATAAACCATGTCAGAGACTACACTTGTTGCATGCCTCAGGCTTGCATCTCAAATAGGGACTTGTACGGCTAAAAAAAAAAAAGTGCATGGTCAAGGGAGGTAGGATAGAGCTAGAAAAGGGACAAGAAGAAAAAATAAAAATAAACCCCCTGCAGTTCTTGCTACCGTCCGCTTAAATAAAACAGCTGGCGTCTCCCCCCACTGAAGCAATTCACTCTGGATTAGTAATTGCTCCAAAGAGGAAGAGCGTCACATTTTCGCTCTCAGTCCTATGGACGCACAAGGATGTTCACCTTCCTGCAACGCAGCTACAGCCACGCTCTAGGAGATCAGTTACAGCAACAACTGGCAACAGCTTAGAGGAGTGACCAGCGAAGCACACTCGACTCGGCAAATGCCATCGGGTCATCCTTGAGTCTGCACATCACGGTCTACCTGCACAACGCAGCACGGCGGCCTGGGCAGAGCGGGAGGCTGTCAGGACCGAGAGACACCTTTGCATGTTGAGCCTCACGTCAGGCAAGACAGAATACAGTGGCTCTGACTACAGATGCAGATTAATAACTAACACCACTTTAATGCAATACTGCTGTAGAGCCTGAAAATCCAAGGAAAAAAAAGAACCCTTTATGTTCTATGTACATTACATCCATTTACAGAGTTGGCCAGTACTGTGTACAACATATAAATACATGATCAAACAGATGCATAGAGGATACTTACAGGAGCCAAATAATTCACTTTATACATCCAAGAATGAAAATATAAAAAAAAGGAAAAAACACTGCTTTAAATGTTAGATGATCATCACACAGCAGATGCATAATACTTACAGGAGCCAAATAATTCACTTTATACATCCAAGAATGAAAATAAATACATTCAAACAGATGCATAGAGGATACTTACAGGAGCCAAATAATTCACTTTATACATCCAAGAGAGAAAATATAAAAAAAAAGGAAAAAACACTGCTTTAAATGTTAGATGATCATCACACAGATGCACAGCTAGACGCTTGCAAGTGGTCAGATGCTGTCGTGTTAAGGTCCTCGTTGCAGGGCTGCAATGCAGAGACCGCTGGCCACACAAATGAGCTTCTCGGAACCTCCGACCTTTCACGCTAGTTTGTGGCAAGTCAGCCAAAAGAGGCAGTCACATCAGCCGGTCCAAGAGTTCAGCCAGGCACACAGTTCCCCGGGCCACACATCTTCCTGCAGACCAGCAGAAGGCATTCGGTTGGCACCTGCCACTTTTTTTTTTCCCCCCCCTCTTCTTCTTGCATCCTCCGAGCCGGCTCCATCCAGGGTACGGTTAGCTGAATAGGGCTCTACGGCCACCTGCAGAGTGTTCTACGGGGCACCGCGTTCTGCTGTAGCATCCAAAGACCGTACAGAACCGTCACCTGCAGAGCAGCTCTTCGCTTACGCTTACTGTACAGCGGTACTTCCCACGCAAACCAAGAATGGAGATGGCAGAAGGGGAGAGTGGAAGACTGTAGGGCCTCACCTAGCGCAGCCCTGAAATAGAAAACACCCTGTTCCAGTTCCTTTGGATGTAAAGATTTCCTCGACAGAGGGTCCACGGATTGCCACAGCAAACTGCCTCTCACTCAGGTGTTAGCCTCAGCACGTGTACCAGAGCACAATCAGTATTTCCACGATAGCACTAAGCAGAAGGATCGCTCCAGTGGGGCGCAGCCCGGATAGTGGAGTGTAACCGTGAGCAAGAAAGGGTTTTGCACTGTAGATTTTAGTGGGAAGTGGCAGGTCAACTTTCCTCACCAAAACAAAGTGTAATAGCATTTCTACTATAAACAGAATAGTATTTTGTGTACAGGCTTTAGGATCAGTCGTTATCAAAATACACACACTGAATATACAATTTGTCCCATGGCCATAATTTATTATCTCACCACAAGGCACAATACACAAAGCTTAGAGGGTCCTATACAGTCATCGTGGCAAAACGCCCCGCAGCCTTTACACATGATCATGGCTTTAAGGCTGCAGGAGCACTTGAACGATATCTCGTCAACGCTGCTGCCATCAGCAAACATCTGCACAGAAAGGGACGTGTTATGGTTCGCAGCAAAGTTCGCTTTGTGGGTTAGCTGCATCATGCTTCCAGCAAGACTTCTGGGAAAAGCCGGAGTGTTGGATGAATAATTAAAGCTGGTGGAATTAAGCTGCAGCTTAGAAAGCTTCCCATAAAATGCTTGCTTGATATTGAGCTGAGAGGGTATGGAAGAAGGCTCCAAAGGGTGATTGTGTCCTTTTCCTGGTTCTCTTGAAAACTTAAAAAATGGCAAGTCCATAACCAGCGGAACACTTTGCAAATGCTCCGTCAGCTCCACGGGGTTTTGTGCTGCATCCTTCCGGTTCTCCGCGTTACGCTTGGCTGGGCTGCCACATGCCAACACATTCCCGTTTTTTATTCCTCCCAGGGTGTTGGTGTGCTGCTTTGAAGTCCATTCTTCCCCTGCAGCTGGCATTCCTTCTCCTGATGCACAGGTCTTGTTCAGAGGAATCTGTTTGCTGGGGGACAAGGTTCCCATGGCTGAAACTTGATCCAAAGCCCTGGAGTGATGCAGTCTAACACTGGGGCTGCAAGGAAAACCAGAACCAAAGAGTTTTTTGCCTTGAACTCCAACATAATTTTTACTGACCGAGGTACCCCCTGTCTGGCTTGGGCCAAGAGAAGTTACAGCTGGAGATAAAAACCGAGGCTCCATAGAGGCATTCAACTTCTCCGGGCTTTTATTTGCGATGACACTTGTTAATGGGTTGTGCTGTGGCACCCGATGGACCTTGGGCAACTCCTTCTGCTCCTCAAAGCTACAGGAAGAAAACGTTCTTTCCCGAGGGCCCATATCTTCAGGCTTCTGAGAGGCACTTGCCACATTTGCCAGTTGGTCTTGGCAGCTTAAAGTTGAGCCAATTTTGGAATGTTTTTCTGGAATGGACTGATCCTCTGCATCCCCTGCTCTAGGCAATGCTGCCCCTGATCCGCACTTCTTCTCCTGGGGATCTATGGAAGATCTCATTGAGTGGAAGTCATCACTCCTGCTTAGGGCACTCGTCTTTATTCCTACATCTGGAGAAGATTCTTTGCCAAAATAGCAACTGCTACCTCTCTCCATTTGCAGGGAGAGGCCTTCCGACTGCTTGTCCAGCAGCGGCTCTGTAACTTCCAGCTTGACGTTGGCATGAGATACTGGGAGAACTTCTTCCAGTGGAAGGTTCCCCTTAAGCAGCTGCATCACCAAAGGGTTGTTGGTTTCAGCAGAGGACACGGGCTGAGCAGAACCTGTCGGCCGCTCAGGTTTCTGGGGCAATGGTGCATGTGGTCCCCACCTCTGAGATGGAGGTGCAGTGCTCATCGCTGCGACTGCAGGGAAGTCCACAACGTAGGCCAGACTCTCTGTTTCCACAGATGATTTTGATCTAATCCTACCACATCTCTCAGCGCTGCTGTGACAGGAGGAGTCTTTCCCAGCCACCTCCCTGCAGCTGACATGTCTGAAACGTATATCCATCTCTACGTTCTCATCAGCTACGTCACCTTCAAAATCTGAAGCAGTATCTGTTGTTTCACTGTGCGTACTCTGTATTTCATCATCTCCGTTTGTCTTGAACTCTTGAGTCTCTCTCAGTGGCTGACGTGCGTTTTCTGGTTCTGTTCTGGGGCACCTCTCCCCCAGCTGCAGAAGTTTTTCAGAGGTATCTATCCTATTCTGAGAAATAAAGTCATCGTGTAAAGAGGGCTTCACCAGAGACTCTGTATTCTGTTCTTCATTACTTAGTTTGCCATCACTCTCTTTCTCTGCCTGCAGGTGTGAAAAGTTGTACAGTGCAGGCACTGCTTTCTCCGCTCCAGTAGTCACCGTTTTCGAGTTATCACTATCAGCCACACATTTTTCCACAAACATTTCAGAGCCATTAAATCTAAATCTAGACGCCATTTCTGGCTCCTGGCATTCTTTACCGCCTGATGACAATTCTGGCGGAAGAGCAGGACAACTGGAGGAATTTTCCTTTACATCAGAATGATAATCCAGCTGTACGGCGGGAGCACTAACATCCTTGAGGTCTGACACAACCCTGCCTCCCGTAGGGCTGATGACGGCTCCCTGCACCCGAGAACACGACAGACCGTTTACCGGAGGAACCACGCATTTCAGCTTTGTACTTTGCCTCTCCTGTGACGCAACACAAGATGGGGTTTCGGTCCTTGGGTCACAGAGGAGCTGCTCAGGGCCTTCCTCCTGCCTCTCAGAAGTTGCATTGTCTAAGGATGACCCAGTCAAAGCATCACAGAACTGCCTTCCAGGTGAACCATCACCAGGCTGAGGTTCCCCTGAGCTAGAGCCTGCAGTGCATTCCAGAACGCCACTTCCCTCACTCTTTGAGGAAAAGGGGTCTTGTCTTGAAGAGGCGAAGGAATTCCTGTTAGCCTCCTGAGCAGCCACCTCGGAGTTAGCCTTTTCTCCATTCAGATGGAGAGACGACAGTAATTGTGTTCGTTGTAGATCTGACGAACGCTTTCCATGAGTTCTCTTTGATCTCCTGTGCTCTGCATGGCTGCTGGGTTCTCCTCCGCCACCTCCCTCATCGGTGCTTCTCCCTCCACCTGGGCCACCCCCACCTCCAATGGCAGCTGTAGCAGCTTCTCGCTGGGCTCGGGCTTGCAAAGCACGGGCTTTAATGTCTGCGAGTGTTCTGGCCCCAGTCCTGCCCCGGCTGGAGGGCTCCGTGTTGGGGATGATCCTGGGGCATATCTGGTAAGCGGGCTGACCTTTAACCACCCAGGGTGGTTTAATACGTGAAAGTTGAATCTGAAAGAAAGGGAAAAGCAATTAGTTCTAACACTTGACCATTTTCAGACAGCGAAACGCATTTTATTAGCATCTGTTCATCACAATTCTTATCACAAGAATTCAACAAAAATTTAAAATTCCAAACTAAAAACTAATTTTGGTAGAGAAGTAGCATGCTCCCCGAAACCTCTGCTTATGTGCTCTGTCATGCGATATGTAAAGCTCACTTAATACTAACATTGTTTTACCAGAGCCAGCAGGCAAATACGAAATGAGTGATCTGCATTCAGATCTTCAGAAATCAAAATGGTCTCCTTTACATCAGGATGACTACCCTGAAGCTAACAAGATGGATACCTCTAGTCAAAATGGGAAGAGTCAGAAAGAATTCTAAGACTCTGCCCAAAAGGAAAGGGACTGAGAAACGGCACAGGGTAAAGAATATGATTTGAAGGTCTTTTTTGCAACAAGTCAGCTAGTTTCAGGAGAAGTGATTTCTGTATCCACAGAAATGCAAACTAACAGAGTAAGTCAAGGTTACCCTGCGCTCTTGTGCAAAGACCTTGGAATGATTTTCCATTCTTTGCCTGTCTAAATAAGATAGTAAACTGTGGTAATCAGAGGTACTTAGCCAGCTCTACCAATGAAACCCTTCCACTTCTCTTAAGATGACAACACTTGACATTTTAATAATGCTTTGACGCTACTGAGCATGACAGCCCTGAGATACCAAGCGGCTATAATTCTCTTTCCTACCCGGATGGGTGGGACTTTTGGCTCCTCTTTAGTAGGCTGTGGCTTTTCTGGGTGAACACTTTCAATTGTGTTACGAAAGGACTGACGATCTTCAAGCCGGGGCTTCTTTTCGGGGAAGGACGCAGAGGCAGCCTCCTCAAAGCATTTCCTCTTCTGGTCCTTCGACTCCCGAGCAGAGTTCTCCTGGGGCAAAC